ACATAATTAATTAATATCCAAGGATTAAAAGTTTTTCATTAATCTATGAAGCTTGATTCTATAGTCATAAATTAGACAATATATAAAAACAATACAAGTTCTTGTAGTTATGCTAAATGACTTGCAATTGAAATTTTTTGTCTTATCCTATATGATACATCTTTTGTCTTGATCCATCAAGATAGAAGTAAGGGACATAAAAATGGGAGAAAAATCATAGATTTCTCAAAGGAGAGTTATGTCATGTGTTCAAGAAATGGGAGTGCTACATTAAATTCTCATGTCTTTTTATATAATATCTAGACAATTAGAACAGAATGAAAATTGATCCAAGGGTTGTAATGTAGTATTAGTATATTAAAACTAATCTAATGGTGATGAATTAGACAGGACACTCACTTAATCAAATAATTAAGATTAAAAAAATTCATTGGGCTCAGAAGGAGAATAAAGGAGCCAGACTTGCTGGGTTTGGCACGAAGAAAGAGCAGAAAAAAAAAAACGATATGCAAGAGGCAAGAAAAACCATGTGCAAGCAAAACATTAGAGTTATGCAACTTGTCAAATTATTAGAAAGCCAAGTGGCAACAAGGGAGGCAAACAACTAAACCTCCTTTCTTCTTATATACAAGGTAGATATATCCCGAAATGAGTTGCTTGTTAACATGTTATATGAGTTAGGCCTTTCTTAGCTAGTGATTTTCTTAACGAATTAATTTTATATGTAATCCAATTTTTTCCTGATCTTTGTTTTCTATTTTTTGATATTAAAATTAATAATAAATAAAAAAATGGCTCAAAACAACTACTAAATTATGATAAATTCACTATTCAAAAAATTCATAAACTCCAAATAAATTATTTCAAAATTTTCTTTTCTATCTTATAAATCTAAATCCATAATAAAATATCATCAAAAGTATCTTATCATAGTGATAAAATTATTATTATAGTTATTTATCAAATAGTAGATATGGACATGAAAAATTTGACACATTTTCCTTATAATTATATTAGATAATCTTATAATTGTATAGAAAAATAAATTAAAACTCATTACACAAGGGGCATTTTTGGGTATTCATTTAAAAAATTGACGAAATCAAATATTATTTTAAGGTTTTGTTACTACAACTATCAAATTATGGAATGTAAGTGTAATTTTTCAAATATCAGGGGAGCTCAATGAAATTGTCAAAAACCTCGAGGGAGGTTTCTAAAATTATCCCTTAAAAAAAGGAAACTATATATATGTCACTGTGTCAGTCAGCTAAACTTCACCATTAAGTCACTCGCCAATATAATCGCGGCCAGACCCCCTTGACTTGGAGTCCTATCTGATCGCGTTGCAATTTTTTCAGCTGGAAGCTCACTCATTGATCATCTCTTCATTTGCTACTTCTCTCCTGGAACAGAGGGAAAGAAGAATCATATATCTTGATCAGGTACTCTGAACACATTAGTTTTAAATTTTCTCTTTCAAGATTTTTCAAGTAAAGCTAGTGTTCAGAATGGCTCATACTTTCCTTTTAGTACAGACTTTGATTTCTTGTTCTGATGATAATGTGTTAAGTTTAGTTGTAGAAAACCCTTTAGATACTCCAATGCGTATCCATGATACCAGACAACGATTTTGGGCTAAAAAAATGGTAGGATATTTGGATTTCACGTCTTTGGACAAATGTACAATCATCTGGAGTAAAGGGACTACATTCATAGAATCGGATTGCTCCTTTCCTCCTAAAGTACTGATCCTAGCAGCCCTTAAACCCATTTTTCCATTTTTTTTATCGTGAACAATTAGTTGCAATCTATCCTAGAACTTTAGCTTCCTCACATGGTAAAAATTCTTGACCTGCTTGTGAATTTTTCTAAAGCATTCATGTAGCAAATACAGTGTTTAATGCTTTATAGTTCCTGCTACTTCCATTTATCCTGTGCACTGAAAATCAGGTTTACAAAAGAGTTAAATTTATCATTCCTTTTCTAATGTCATCTGTACTGTAGTTTCGAACGTATTCATTTAGTTGTCTGCACTTTGAAATTTTAATCAACAGAGAAAGCAAGATCCTTTATTGACGGTTGAGTGTCACCTTGAAAATTCGTCGTTATTTTTACTGATCAGCATAATCTTCTATCCAGCGATGGAGGATGGGCAATCAGATCTTTTAAGCTTAAAGGTCCTGGTGGAAAAGGAGAAAAAAAGAGTTGTTTTTCTGGAGGCGGATAAATACTTTCTTGATGTTCTCAGTAGCTTCATGACAATGCCCTTGGCGATGATTATCAAACTGACCCGTGGACATTCACTGAAGGGGGAGATCGGTTGCCTCAGCAGTTTATATGAAAGTGTGGAAAATCTTGGTGAGGATCATCTACAAAGCACAGACCACAAGGACATGCTACTGCATCCTCGAAGTGCTGCTGAAATCTATCATAGTGACTTGTTGAAAGACAATTCGATTGAGAGAACTGCTGCTGATTATTATGCATGTAGCGAAGGAGGCTGCACGTTTCTGAGTTATTATCGATCTACTCATTGCCGTTGTGGAAGTGCTATAACTCTTCGCTTGGATTTCTCAGATTCTGCGTCTATTCCTCAAGAAAGAGGAGGTTTTGTAAAACCAACTGTGCACTTTATGATTAGTGACGACTTTCAAGTAATGCCGATGTCCACTAAGACTGGATTAGCTCTGCTCGAACAAGTCAGCAGGTTAGATGGGAGCAGAATAGAAGAGAGGAACATAAACATTGGAAGGAATGAGGTAGGCAACAAGTAACAACTAGCTGGGTGTTGGATTCTAATTGGTTCAGATAAACAATATTAAGTGTTCTCTTCTTTTCTATCATTCTCTCAGGTTCTGAAGCTGTTGAAGCATTCGCTGGTATCAAGGACTCCTTTTACTGACACCTTGTTGGAGGCACCAATGAGTAAAGGTATCTTCAGCGTCTGCCATGGAAAATATGGTCCAAGAAGGAAAAGTGACATTCCAGAGACTATAGCTAAAAAAGAGAGGATTATTTTAAAGCTTATTGTATGCAAATCCAAGAATAAGGCAATTTATGCAGAGGCAAAGGAAGATTTCGTTAATCTGCTTTGCAGTTTCCTCACATTTCCTCTTGGTTATGTCTTCAGCGAATTTCCATCTTTGTCATTCAAGGGGTGCATCAATAACTTTTACCAGACAATCAAAGAGTTTGATAGCAACCAATTCATGTCCGAGGAGATGAAGGAAGCTATAGTCTATCCAAAGTTGGCTCCAGGTCTTCCTGTTCCTACCAAGTTGATTGCTATTATGGAAGCAGTAGAGCCGTCATATTCCACCTTTCACTCCCTTTTCAACGTCAACAACAGCAAAGTGGGGCCAAAATCCAATTTTTTTGGGAAAGCTGAGGGATTCATAAAAGGGCCATCCATGTTCATGGTGACAGACAATCTGACTGTAACACCTTTATCTGCAATATCAGGCTTATCTCTTATCAATAAGCTCAGGATACCCCTCATTGATATTGAAGAGCAGCAAGTGGATGTTGGTGAAGATGAGGTGAGATAAACCTAGCTATTGCTCGTTAATTATTATAGCCCTAAGCATTCGTAGAGTGTGGCATTGGCCTGACATATAAGTACTGCCCACAATTTGTGCCACTGAGATTTTCAAGGTTGATTGCATATGTGACTAATATTCTACTCTTCTGTTAATTGATAATTCATGCAAATCTTTTGGCAGGCTTTGCGCCTCCTTGTGGCTACTTTGGTGTCCAAATATACCCTAACGGACGCTTTCCTGCACAAGGAAGAAAAACAAGAGTCATAAGGTGAGTAGATATGTATGAACATCTGAATACATGAAAAGTAACCATGTGAATTCTAAAGATCAAGTATGCAAGTCATCTTCTCATTTTCATCTAAATCCACTATTGTGATGTTCGTCTTTTTGGTTCTCTTCCTAGCTAGTCTGTGGTCTATGATGATGAGGATGTACCAGTGAACAAGTGTTCCCTGATGTTATGTACTAGCTTGAGAAAATAATGAAGTTCTAAGTTGGGTATCTATTAGATAGACAAAAGTAACTTTATGTTGATGACATTTAAAAGAAGATTCAAGCACCAATGTACACAAGTAGGGAAATACTAGCCATCAGGTCCCTTTCTCTCATATTGAGAGTCATCATTAGGATCTGTCAGACTTTTCTTGATCCTCCCTTGTCATTTACTAGTAATTAGATCTAATCCATTTGCTATTTCGCATGACAAACAAACTCTTCGTGGCTCTCTTTAGCAGAATTTATTATGCTTTTGTGGCCAGATTTGCCTGGTGATTATCAATGTCAAATGAAACTATTGGAGGATCGTGTCTGATAGAAGCTGGAATATTTGATCAAAGAAAAACAAAATTGATCAAACACGGTAAAATAGCAGTTGCACTTCAAACTTCACCCACCTAATCCATTAATTTTGGGTATAGTTTCTGCTAATCATGAGATCGAAATGCTGATGCTGTACAAACAGAAAAAATTGTTGACATAGTAAACCAAAGATTGAGAAAAGAAATATAAGCATGAATAGAAACAGGGAAACTGGTTAGAAACAGAGATGCTCGCCCCTCGTGTCATCTGTTACTACTTGGGTTTTATATATATATATAGCTTATTGTCTGAAAAGTGAAAAGTAGTAGCAGTTGAATAGATTTCAGATGTCAAAAACCGAATGTGCATGCATCATTCTTGGGTCAGCTCAAGGCCTCTGTCTAAAATCCTATGTTCCTTATCGTACTCGGTTTAATCTAGTCCACCCTACCCTATCTCATATTCCAATCCAAGACCATTTCTACGATTCCTTTGTCACAAAGTTCTCCGATGTAATTAAGAAGATTTTCCATGCATATAAAATTACCTCTTCATTGGTCATCAATAACGTGACGCATTGGGAATAAAAAGATTAGTTAAAAAAAAAATCAGCAATCAGATGAGGCCCGCCCGTGGTGGAAGGTGGGCGTGTTTTTTTTTTTTTTTTTCCTAATGGAGTGGATATCCAGATCAATTCTCATGGGATTCGACTAATTTCATTCCGTTACGGAAGGAGAGGCCTCATCTCTCCGAATACAATAATCATAGAACTCGAATCTTTGTCAGTACTGAACACCAGCTCCTAAAAAAGCTTGTTGAGACCAACCGAGTTGACCACGAAAGCGTGAAAGGTGGGCGTCAAGTACTCCTATTTGGAGATGTCCCGCGGATATGTTGACTTCCTTATCGGACAAGAAAGTACTACTAGTCCTAAAAAATTTTTCGAGAACCATTTCGTATAAATAAATACTCCTCTCCCTCAGGCTCCTCCCACAGCACAAGCATCTTTTCACCCCCCACCATTTTGTTTCAGACATCAAACAACTCTAGTCTTATCAAATTATTCTTTCTTTGATTAAATTAATGTCTCTAAGGGCAAGGTCGACACCATCCGCCACCGCAACCTCGGTTGCCGCCACCACCGAAGATGCTCCCGACACCCCAAAACCTCAACCACCACAGCGCTCCTCCTCACCTCTATCTCAACGCGCACTATCTCAAGCATTAACCAGCACGGCCAACTTGGCTAACCTCCTCCCCACGGGGACCCTTTTAGCTTTCCAGCTGCTAACACCGGTTTTCACCAACAATGGCTCGTGCGACGCGGCCACACGGCCCATGACCATCATCCTCCTCGCCCTGCTCGCCGTCTCGTGCTTCCTAGCTTCCTTCACCGACAGCGTTAAATTATCCGATGGGCAGGTTTATTATGGTTTTGCAACTTTTAGAGGAATGTGGCTGTTCGACGCTCGGGGGACTATTGCTTCTGGTTCTGAAGTTGGCGTTCCTGACTTGAGCAAGTATAGATTGGGATTCATCGACTGGGTTCATTCAGTTCTATCCGTTTTTGTGTTTGCTGCCGTGGCTTTGAGAGATAAAAATGTGGTGGGGTGTTTGTATCCGAAGCCGGATCATGAAGTTCAAGAGGTTTTGGACATCGTTCCCATTGGAATTGGATGCCTTTGCGGGTTGCTGTTCTTGGTCTTCCCCACCAGAAGACATGGGATCGGCTACCCTGTCACTCCAGGCAATTAATTAGTCACATGTTCTTCTGTCTAATTATTCTTTGATTCTTCACTCTGTGATCAGTAATAATAGTATACAAATTCTGTTCCCTGATTAACAAAAAAAAAAAAAAATTTGTCATTGTTCTTATTGCGTAGGAACATGAGCAGCTTTGATTTGTAATGGACTCAATTTAATTAAAACTTGAAAGTTCAAAATATTGAAGTTGAAAAGTAACCAATGGTTGAAATTGTTGGGAAGGTTTCGTGGAATGGTATTGAAGAAGCAACAAATGGATGGGATTTGGAAATTGAATGGTTCAATCAACAACTGCCGTGCACTCAAATGAGCTCATCCCAAATACTCCAGTTCTTTCCATAATGGGTTTGCCCGGCCAACGCTGTCCAATTGGACTTTAGGACGTCAAGGTTTTTTTTTTTTTTTTTAATATGAGATGCCTAATATAATTCTCCATATATTCTACACAAATTAATAACAAGTTTTCCGTCTTTGTTCGACTAAGAAAAGCCTAATCATGTTTAATGTCTAGTTCTCTATGGTCTGGACAAATTAATTCGCGTGTCTGGTGTTTTGTGACTAGCGGATTTTGAGATTAGTCCGGTACTTGCAACAATTCTCCAATCATATGTCTATTACTGTATTTCCTCGTAGTGATGCCATTTAGGTCCGCCAGCAAGAAAATAGTCAAAATACTACTTCTGTTTATGCATGTGTATACTATACATATGGACACGTACTTAAAAATTTTATGTACATACTAGAATATTTGTTTATTGTTTCAACAAGCCAAAAAAACAAAAACTCGTTTGTTTTTTGTTATTAGGTTCGATTTCGACGGTAAAAGTAGATGAAATAAGTGTTTCGAAAGTCATTTCTTCATCTTTTGAGAGCAAAAGTCCAACCATTCGCAGGATCCATTTCAAGGTCTTAGTGGACAAGGAAAAATGAAGTAAAAGCCATAAAACTTTTCTTTGTTTTCCTTGTCCCCATATTTTCAAAGTTTATAAACGAGTTGAGTCGAATTAATATTTGACCTAATTGAATCGTATCTCAACTCAATTTTATCAAATTCGAACTCCAGCTCCCAAACTCTTAATGTTAGCTTCGATCTCGAACTCGACCTCAATTTCGAATCGAACTCGAATTCGAACCTACTCAAGGTTAAAAAAATAAAAATAATATGCGTGTGTATGTGTATGCATGTATATATGTATAACTGAGCGGCTCGCGAACTAACGAGTTGAATTTATTAATGTACGAACTCAAACTTGATCTCAATTCGAGTTCGAGTCGAGTTTTAATCAAATCGACTCATGAGTGCTCGGGAGTTGCTTGATTCATTTGCAACCCTATGAATGACCTACATTTTATGAGGACAAAGCATGAACAAGATAGAAGTGACTTAGGAAGGGTTGGGTTTGGTGATTAAATGGAGAGGGATTGTAAGTAGAACGTCTTGAATTCAAAATTACTTATATAGAAGTAATTTGAGCTATTGTTCAAGACTTTAATTATGAGTATTTTGCTAATTCAGCCTAATCTCTAAGTGCGTGGAATTGTGCGGAAGGTTAAAGTAGTGAACAAATAAGAGAAACGTCGGAGGCTAAAAAAAACTTATATTGCACTTGAAATACCTCTACCAGATGATCTACAAATAGGGAGCTCGGCCTACTCTTATATATATATATATACTAGGGGGTTGTCCCGCGCGATGCGCGGGCGCTAGGTAAGAGAGTGTAATTGTGCTAAAGTTTTGTATCTGTATGTTGAATAAAATGGTTTTAAAAAGTTATTTAAGAATGCAATTAGTGATTGTTTGAATAAATATATAGCAAATTACTTAAACACAATTGATGCTTTTTTATATTAGAAACCAGAATACATTTTACTTAAACATTTGATAATATAAAATGTGTTTAATTTGATAATATGAACACATTTGATAATATTAAACATGTTTTAATATTTTATCTAAACATTTGATTTAAACGTTTGATTTAATTTAAACACATTAAAGATTTTATTTAATTTGTCGGAAAAGTTGTGGTATGGATGAGTTGACAGTTGCAATTCTAATTGAGCAATCCGGTTTTTTTTAATTAAATATTTTTGGACATTTTAGAAATTGAGTTTATTATTAGTGCTGTGCATATGTAAATTTATTAAATTATATGTGAATTAGTATTAGTATATAGGTTTATTCAATTATATATAGATTAGTATTATATTTTCTATTTATTAAATTAAATTATATTTTAGTATTTATATTTTATATGTTTATAATATGTTTGAGTTATTATATGCTTATTATGTGTTTTATTACCGTACAAAGGCAGCTAGTTGACGGTGTTAGAATATATCTGGTCTTGACATTTGGATAGCAGCTAGTTGTTTCGGTGTGCAGGTGATATCAGACGTGTAATTTGGAGGATAGGAGGAGGGTAAAAAGTACAGAAATTCACGGGTGTAGTATTGCTTGTTCCCTACATAGTTGAAGCTAATATAGTGAGAAGTAGTATATATTTGGTACTTGTCTGTAGATAGTTAGTGTGTGGAAATGGCGAGCGGAAGCGCAAGATTTCCCACTATTCAATTATATTATCCAGAGGTGGACGAAGAGGTTAATCAGCTAGCTGTTGTTCGTGGAGCAGCTTATCCTATGGGAAATGGCTGTTGGAATCGTCCGGCAGAACCGGTTGCACGAGCTCAAGTGGCAAATGTTTTGCTGAAAAATGAATTGTGTGATTTGTTTAAAGAGCTTTACAGGCATCATGATTGGGCTTCAGTTTTGGAAGCTGCGCTTAGGACTGGAAGAGGCTATCCTATCTTGGGGTTGATTGCCAACAGAATGAGGGTGGAAGTGTTAGAAGAAAAGTATTACTTTCCCAGTCCGCCATCTTCTAGTGACATGGGCGGCGAAAGTGATTAAGGAGTTGGAGTTTGGGAAAATGTGTTTGTTAGTTTGGTGTTTGGCGTATGGTTTTTAAGCATTAAGATGTGTTTGTTAGTTTCTGAAGGATATGATAATCCTGTATTTGCTACATAAAGTAGCGTCATATGTATTTCTGTCTGTTGTATAAAGTACTCATGTTTTGATTTGTATGAGTGTCTTGTGTTTGCCAAGAATATACAAATGCGGTAAAGCAATAAGCAAAACTTGTGAATTGAACGTGTTTACAGATTTGTATCTATAAACTGATGAATGTGTATGAAAATTTGCATCTGGATTAAATGCGTAATAAAATGAAGTATATTATCTGATGTCTATCTATAAGATTTGGGACTAATGAATGGTGAATAATTGTAGGAGATTGGATTGGATATGATAAAATTGATAGAGGTCTGTGTTTGAAGATAATATAGAGTACAAAGCTTTTTGTGGATGTTGGGACAATGTAATGGGGCAAGTTGACTATTGATTGGTTTTGTTTTGGTTCGTAGAAAGAGTAGGGGATTCACGTGTGTATAGTGCTTTTTTGTCTGGTATATATATATTTGTTATTATTGTTTGGTTCACATGTCTACAGTATATTTTTGTTTTTTGTATTTGTCTGTTTTTTGGTTTATGATGTACTTGTTCTATATAAATTTGTTAGTTTGGTTGGTATATTGTGATTTGTGTTTGTGATTTTTTCTTGGTTTAAGATGAGTTACACTGATAATCGTATTGGAGTATTGCGTGATTTGCATCCAGATATTGAGGTTATGTTCAATCGGTTATCACTAAGTGATGTGCGGGGAAATTTGGCTGGACATACTGAAGATAATGGGATGTTGAGGGGTGCAGATCGAGTTTTAGCAAATAATATTCTACTTAGGAATGAGATATATGATTTGTTCAAATCTTTTTATCGGCATCCAGACAAAGCTCGTGTGCTGGAAAGTACATTAGGAAATATTGGAGAATTGCCGTTTCTGCAGATCATTGCTGGTCGTATGGAAGTAGAAGTTGAAGAGCAGAGGAAAGCAATTCAAAGTGCTATGGGTGGATTTTCTGATGCAGCTGGCAGAAATTTCTAGCGAATAGCTATGTATGTTTCTGTGAGTTTTTATAATTTGTAGTATGGAAATGTTTGCTGTTGTACTCTAGTGTATTCCGTGTGTAAGTTGGTGTTTAGATACTGTGTTTAGCAACTTTAGTTGGATAATATTTGTACTTGGTGTATTTGTTTTTGTATTTGGTGAGGTGGTAATCAGTTCCATTGTAGTATGGTGTTTGGCTATTTTGGAAATGAAGGTGCAATGAATAAACGATTCTAAATATCGAATCAGCTTTGACTGATAGCAGAAAGCAAAAGAAAGGGAGTGAAGGGAGATTAGTTTCTGTGATGCAAATGTTAATAACTATAAATGAAATTCTGGTACGTTTGGATTCTAAAAAAGCGCAGGTAACAATGTTTAAATAAGAATGTAGGGAAAGTTGCTAAACTGTACAAAATCTGCTGAAATATTTGCAAATCACAAACTATACTAACACTTGATGAACCGAACGTTAAAGGATAGAAAGTTGAGTAGCCAAGTTCTACAGATCAAAAGTTATACATGAAACTGTGGTACGTTTGCACTTTCAAAAAGCTGAGCTAACTATCTTTAAGCAAAAGTGGACAGAAAGCTGAGCAAGTGTACAAAAGCTGGTAAAATATTTGACCATCACAAAATACAGGAAAGCTTCAACTATCAAAAGTTAACCCAGCAGAGCTTCAAAAGTATGTAATAGCAGGAACCAGTATATGGCATTTTCAATCTTGCTTTTGATACTTGTCACTGCGTTGCTTTTTAGTTGGGCTCTCACTGATCTTAAGAGTAGACAGACAACTGGAAGTCACATTTGTGTCTTTTGGAGCAGTACTGACCACATTTTCATCAATACTGGTGGAAGGCAGTTCTGGATTTGGTTCTGAATAGCCAGTGGTTGAAGGAATCTGTGATATAATCTCTGCTAGAAGGGATTTGTGCAGAATAATGGCAGAGTATTTTTCAGTACTGCCAGATGCATGGGTGTTTGCCATTTTCTTCACAAAGCATGTTATGATAGTGTTGTTAATGGCCTCTTCAATAGCTTGATAGTTGAGTTCATGCTGTAGAATTAAAATGAACAGGTTGACATTAGATACAGTATACTTATTTGTGGATGACAATATTCTATATGCATATGGAAACAGTATTTCTTACCTTGTTTTCTAACTCTTGCATCTGCGAAAGTGTGAAAGGTAGTAACTGAAGGGGATCATTATCATAAAGATCAAGCGTTAAAACTCCAGAATAATCAGCAAGTTCCACAGTTAATCGACATCTTGTCACTATATTCACATGTTTGTTGCATGAGGTGCAAACAATTTTCCAGATAGGCTTTGCTCTGAATGATTTATGGCATTGTGGACAAGCATTATACCATAATCGCTGGCTTTTGTCTAGCAATTTTGGAGTACCACGCAACCAGTAAGCTTTTTTCTGTATTGAATTATAGTGAGTAGTTAGAAATCTGAAAATATTATTGTGAATAAATGATGGGATGTAGAATTTACCGTAGGAAATGCCAGGAAGTCTTGAATAGTGGTCAGCTCATCATCCCTTGGCTGTGATAGAAGCTTAACTCGATTGTGGTATGCTTTTTCTGCTATCAATTTTTTGATTTCTGCTTCATTCTCAATAGCCCTTGTGATGAACAGAGAAGTTTTATTTGCAATGTTTATAATATGCAGTTAATAGAAAATATTTTCAAATGATGTTTGTTGAGAAGAATTGTCACCAGTGCTTGAGATCAGCAGCTTGTTGTATTGGAGGATTAAGGAGAATGCTTGATCCAAATTTTGTTGACAGGTTCAGTGCTGCAATATTTACGTCCCGTAATGTACATTGTATTATGAGTATGTTCAAAGTCAGAAAATATGTGGAGCATAACGAATTTCTTATGTACTCACTGTGATATGATGATACTTTAATCCGAAGTGCAACAATCAGTGGCATTGTGTCAATTATATTTGCAAGTGCTTGGCCTTCATCTGTTTCATGCTCGCCCCATAGTGTTAGGATAACTGGCATCATGCTGTAGTGTATTTGATTGATAGATGAACATTTGTTAGAAGAGATTATTTGTATCAATGTGTGGTGGTTTAGAACTGATATAGAATAAATGGGTAGTTTTAGTTACCTTTTATCTATAAGTACCACTTCTCTAGTAGCTGTAGTGGCCCTTTGTATCCGAGGATGAACTTCAGCGACAATGCCTAGAACATCTGATTTTTAATTGTGCTGAGTTATAACTCTAATGAAAATTGTGTGCAGTAGCAAGTTAGTAGTAAGATTTGTTGGTTACCTATATCTGTGTTGTCATCCATATGTTGGTAGAATCTTCTATAGGGCGAGAATGTGAATACAGCTGGAATCTGTGGTGACTCGACTTCATTTACTGCTTGAACAACAGTAGAGTTGTCTATGTACCATGTGCACTGATTTGGATGAGTGAAATACTCTGATGGTGTGTACTCAACTCTAGCATTGCAGAGAATGTATCGCTTGTAAAGCTGGAAATGATTTCGGAAGAACTCTATGTCTGATTTATAAATCATTGCTTCAACTGTTGACCCCTGAGAACAGTCATGGTTGTTTTGATGTGAATGTCAAAATTGAGTAATAAAGAACATGACATAAAATTGAGAATTTGTATTACCTGCTGATCAATTAATATGAGCTTCTAATATCGGTTTCCTGCCTTTGAGAGTAATGGCTTTTGCTTGTCTAGAACCTGAACTATAGTTGTCCAGTTTTGTAGTCCAGAAATTATTTCAGCAAATGAGATCATATTTTTTTCCTCCTGCAACTCATAATATAAGTAGCTAAGTGCTGGATGAACGAAAAGAAAGGTGTAAAATCATGAATATATACAAATAACTGATATACACATGGTTACAGCAGTTATTGATAAGCTAAATCTAGTACTTCTGTATATACTATATTTTCAGCAATTGAGTCTTCTTGGTCATCAAATATTGATGGTTTAATCAAAATTTTAATAGAACTACTATTCTTAGCTCTTGACATTGCTACATATAGCTGTCCATGGGAGAAAACCGGCTCACGCAAATATATGCCGACAAAATCAAGTGTTTGTCCTTGAGCTTTGTTTATTGTCATAGTAAAACAGGGTCGAACAGGAAACTGAATTCGTTCGAATGATACTGGTGAGTCTGAATTATTCTCTGCTCTAAAACAGATTCTGTGAATGAAGACTTCTTTTCCAGCAAATTCTCCACATGTTATGACTGCATGTATAATATTGGAGCTCAAGGATTTGCATATCAGTCTGGTGCCGTTACATAATCCCTGAGGCGGATCGATGTTTCTTAGTAACATGATAGGGCAGTATGGTTTGAGAAGCAGCTTATGAGGGGGAAAATCATTTCGAGTCAAACTGTTTAGCAAATCTTCCATGATTGTCTGCTCAGAGCTATCTATACACTTGTCTCAGCTGGTATATTCTTGCAATTGTCCTTCGAACTGTACAATGAGCCTCTGATTAATTTGATCCACAAAGTCATTTTTTGTTGTCAGAATAGCACGATTAATTGCAGAGAAATTGTCCTGGCAAAAAGCATTCAAATCTGGGAACACTGTGCGGATCAATGTGTTCATTGATTCTTCCTCATTGGTATATCTTATCAGCATTGATGCAGGTATCTGGATAGAATTGTTGGAGATAAGTGGCTTTGTTCCATTTTCGATGCGGAGTAGATATTCAGTAAATTCTGCATCATATCTTGCTCTCATATTTTGAGTCAGATGCAACTTATGTAGCTGTGGCCATATGTATGAGTTCACTATACTTGCATCGATAAATTCAGATTTTGATCCTTTTGTTACTACTGGCAAGACTTGACGAAAATCACCTCCAAAAACAATGACCTTTGATCCAAACAAATTGTTGCAGTCCATTATGTCTCTGAGAATTTTGTCAACACTCTCAATCGAAATCTTGTGTGTCATTGGAGCTTCATCCCAGATAATCAGAATTGCAGATTGCGGCAGTTTTGCTAATGAGCTCTGTTTACTAATTCTGCATTGCTTATCTCGTGTTCCACTAATTGGTATCTTGAATCTCGAATGAGCTGTCCTTCCACCTGGAAGAATCGAAGCCGCAACTCCACAGGATGCTGTAGCCAGAGCTATGTGTCCTTTTGACCTGATTTCTGCTAGTAGTGCTCGATAAAGGAATGTTTTTCCTGTTCCACCTGGTCCATCAATGAAAAAGGCTCCTTTTTTTTCAACAAAAACTGCATTTATAATAATATCAAAAACTTTTTTCTGATCAGCATTTAATTGCTCAATTGCTAATAAGTCCTGCTCTGGTACAGAGATTCTTGTTTCAGCTATTATATCACGAGTGTTGTTGTTCAAGCTATCAAAATTCATGATATTTGGAACTAAAGCATACTCATTGATATCTTTTCCCATTGATTGTAGGAACTGATTTATCTGGTACAGTACCTGGAAACGAATTTGATCAACTGATACTTGTGGAGTTCTGCTGATATCTTTAGATAATGGCTCTTCAAATTGTTCCCAAAGATATCTGGGATTTGAAGGAGGAAAATGAACAAGTAGTGTGGCAAATAATCTTCTCAAAGTATATGGCATATGATACATAGCTGCTTCCTCAAGGCATTGTTGTTGCGACTTATCAGACTCAAAGTAACCCCTGAGAATTGCTGCCTCACGAAAAGTACGTACATATGCTCCATTTATTGTTCTTAAGTCATCGAATGAAGTTGGACTTTTGACATTTGTGAGTAGCAATCTAAGAAAGTATCGTTCTCCTTCCATTGGGTTGGCTGTTACTATCCTACCTATAGAGTCTTTCTGCTTTCTTGGTTCCCATTTCCTTCTTCCTGGATACCAAACAAAGTGCTCAGGAAACTGTTTGTAAGTACATTTGAGATTCTGAGTTAGAGAATCAGTAGAATTCATGTAGAAAAATTCTGTCAACATGGTTCTCTTAGCAAATCTATTTGCTACTATATCACGTAGGTCTTGGTCTTCTCTGAAATTCAATGGTTGACAGTTTTGTAAGTGAATAACAGCAGGATGTATTTGAAACAGCAGGAACCTGTATATTCTCCATATACCTTCCACAGCACAGACCCATCTAGCTGATTGATAGTCTTTGATCTCATCGATTGCACAGACATGACCATCAGAATTCAGCTCATTAGAATCCTGTGAATTGAGTACAAAATGAATCTTGTCATGACCTTTGTAGATATACTTATACATGTACTTTACTTCCTTGACTGTAGAGCAGATTTCCATGTTCAGATGGCAGTTGAATTTTGCAAGAAGGTAAGGATTGTATGGAACAACCCATCTGTTATCAAACTCATGTCCACGGACCATCATTTTGTATCCATTGTTTCTTCTTCGATAAGTAGGGTATGTGTTATCTCCATGAAAAGTCTTATCGGCAAATGGTTTTGGATAATTATTCCTGCATTTTTTTTTATGTTCTCCTCGCATACAAACATTGGTTGGATTTCTTTTTCCACAAGGGCCATGAATCATGTGTCTGCGAACCATGTTGAAAAGATGTGGATTTTTGCTTTGATCTGGAATCTCTGCACTAACTATTCTGTCATAAGAATCTGTAGAGTAAAGTTTTGAACATGGCTTCAGAATTATGAGGAAATGAGCATGAGGTAAACCGCGTTTCTGGAACTCTATGACATATGTGTAAGCAGCAACAGATCCAAATATTTCTTTCTTGAATAACTCTTGTTTCAAAACATCAAGCTTTGCGTGAAAGATTCGAGTGAGCAGGTCGGGCCTGTTATGTGCTTCATCTGTTGGAAGCATGAGATTCTTTATTTCTGGCCATGAAGGATTGCAAGTCATTGTAATGAATAAATCTGGTTTGCCAAATTTCTGGACCAAAGCCATAGCATCAACATATCTCCTTTTCATGTCTCGAGGGCCTCCTATGAATGAAGCTGGAAGGACTACTCGTTGCCCTACTTTTAAACCTTGGCATTGACCTGTTATAACACTATCCATTACGCCTTGCAGCTGCTCTCTCCTTATGAATTCTTGTTTGCTTTTATAGTAATCCAATATCTGACTTTCAATTTTGATGTACATATCCACAACATATTGCTGAAGTAATCTACCAGTGTTAAGTATGTTTGGAGAATATTTGTCTCTGATCTGCAATTTATAAGCATAATATTCTCGCATTGACACAAATTCACCATTGTTTTCAGGATCATTGGAAACTGAAAGTTACAAAAATAAGGTATAAGTAACTGGTTTCACCATATGAAGTTGCATACATTGATAAGATATTGGATCATCTGAGATTAATCGAAGATAATGCGAGTAATATGTTCTCAAAACAAGCAGTTCGGGATCAGTAATTATGTAAGCAAGATGTGAGCAATGCACATAAGTAATGTATAAGACATTTGCATATAGATAATGTGTTAGTTATTCATGTTAGGAATACCTTCTTCTTCAGCAGATATCATGTCTTCAGCAGATTTGAAATTGGTGAGGAGAGCAGTAGGTTTGTTTCTCTGAACAGATCTTTTTCTCTTTTTGCCATTTTCTCTGACAAATCTTCTAATTCCAGGATGCCAGCCTGTTTCACCAAGTGCAAATAATAGTGGATATTGCAGAGGATCGTAACAACCATAATAGTACTGGACGAGGTGATCCCTTCCTTCTTTTGTATAAATTTTAATGTGTCTAACATAACTTGTTCCTGAACTCTCTGTTTCTGTCCAAAGAGCTGCAACCTGAGAAGCTGTTGGATGATTGAATACTCGTTGATCATTCTGTGAATGTGATTTCAAGACTATCTGATATGAATCCAGATTTGGAACGTTTCTTAGACTGCGGAGAAAACATGCGTATGGATTAGACTTCATGACTTCCATGATCTTCATTACTATACTCTCTATTAATCTTTCTGAAACTGCCATTCTGTTTTGAAGCTCATGATCTGTATCATGAAAATAGAATTGCAGATATAATCCAGATCCTCCATGTGGAATAAGGTCTTTGATAAAGTGATAGCTTTGTCCTTGAACTTTGAAGGTATAAATGCCATTTGTTCTCTTGCAAAGCGATTTATCATAGTGTACACCAAAGGAAGTGAAGGCAAACATATTATTGTATGTTCTGACATATGTACGAAAGGATAAAGTTTCATCAGAATGACCAGTGAACAATTCTACAAGAATATCTGGCAATTTATTCTCATGGAGAACTACTTGTCCGTCTGAGCAACAGAAATTGGGTGTCTCAGAGTGCATTTTTTTTCCTCCACAGTAGTGACAATCAGCTTTTGCAGGTAATCTATCTGCCTGATGATTAATAAATTCCAGTGCATGAACTCCATCAACAGCCTGATTACCTATAGATTTACCAATTAGTTCAGCTAAACTAAAGGTTGGAACTGAACATAAGGAGGTAAAAGAGGAACAATCAGTGATTTGTAATCTATACCTCTGTTTTTTTTTCTTTTTGTTATTAATAGCTTTCACTTGTTTCGCTGATGAATGGCTTTTGCCTGAATGATTCAAGTATGTATAATTAGAAGCAGAAGCCATAACCTTTATACATGTAGTGGTAGCAATATGATCAAGGTATTTGTATGAATAGAAGTGGTTTGAGGTTACATAATGCATACTGAAGTTTTCTGATCAACATCAGAAGTAATTAAACAGTTTAATATATTTTAATGAGATGGTTATTTGATGGATTTTTTATGCCAAATTAGTTTACAACAATAGTGAGAAATAAGAAACTTGATAGTACACAAGAAATTTGAGAATAAAATGACAACCTCATGAGAATTGTCAACCAGCTCATATGGTAATTTGAGTTTTTCTATATACAAGATAGTAAATTCAGATCAAAGCTAGTAACCTGCAACTCTTCTTGTTTTAGCAGAACAATTATCAGGGACTTGATACAGCTGGTGTATTGGGAGGATAGCTGACAAATCTGTTCAGGGTAAAGTTCATGCAATTGTTAGACACAATCGCATCACGAATTTTTTTAAAAAGCTGAAAGAACATTTGACCTGAAGTTTGTTCAGCTATTTCTGTCAAGAATTTGTAGCAGTTCATGCATATGAATGATTTATCTGAAAAGTAAACAAGAATACTAATATAGCTGATCATGATAATGTTGATGGTTATATATAAGAAGCAATAATCAATGATTAATTTCGAAGCTTAAATGACCTGCATTGTGTACCATGTCAGTAGCTACACATGTATGTTGTGTACCAGAGTTAGAAGCAGATCCTACGTATAAAAATTAGAGATGGAGTATTGTATGAATAGAATACTGTTTATGATTTGAGTAGGAAAGATATATTAAAAACAAAGTACACCATGTACCTTTCTCATAGCTTGAGAAGCAAGAAATCTGTTCCTCTAATTTTCTACCCAACTGAGCAGAAGGTAGTTCATCACTGTTATTTGGAGAGGGAGAAATCCGAATACCAGGTTTTGGAGCACCTATTACAATAGATAGAGTTCAAATTGGTTGCATGAATATTATAAAAAAAATTGAAATTGAGATAGGATAACAAACAATGGACAGTCTAATTCACTACAATATAGCAAGAAACACGAATACATATACAACTAAGTTTAGATGAATTCATTGATTTAAAGTAGATAGAAATGGTACCTGTAAAGTTTTGTGTAAAGTAAGAGCGTGAGAATTCACTACGTGAATCACCTGAAGGTGAGGTAGAAAAATTTGCAACCAATAATTCCATCTTAGAAAAGTTGGTAAAGAAAAATAAATTGTATGACTAACCTTGATTACAACCAATAATTCCATGAACATTCTCATTGAGTTTGGAAGTTTGACAACCAATAGCTTGGATAACTTTATCATTCAAAGCTAGTCATCAACAAAATAAGGGAAATAGACAGGTTATGATAAATATGCTATGCACATACAGATTATGAGAATATAATAAGAGTTTTTGAATCACTATGTACCATGAGAACATTGTTGAGCAGAAAGGCTACGCATAACAGATGCAGAAACTGGTGGTTGAGAGGCTTCTTGAAATTGTTGTGGCAAGGACTTGGAAAGTATTTTCTCCAATTTTTTTCTGTGATAAGCTTCTCTGTTTTTTTTGCGCTGAGCCTGTTTCTCTTCGACAGATAGAGCAGCAAATTTGTCTCTTTTTTTACGATTTCGCTTATCCTTTTTCTCACGAAGTTTATCAGGATCATCCGTTATGGATAGCTTGGAGCAGCTCCTTTAAGGAACAAACAAAGATAGACAGAGGAAAATCTAGGCGCAAGGAACAAACTATTCAGCTAAAAAGGATGAAGACTATCAGTACAGATGGAATGAGCTATCAACTAAATATATTAAAAAACAATAAAAAAACCAACTGAACGAAGCAAAGAGAGTAGAAAACCTCCATGGAGACAGCAAACGAAGCTTATCAAAGTACCTCTGCTACTGCGTATTATAAGAAATTGGACCACCTCAGTACAGATTGGGATAAAAGAAATTTCCAGTTGCATGGAACAGCTGAAGGGCTCATGTGAAGTAAGTTTGGATTAGCATAAGAAAATACCTGATTCGAAGCAAGCTGTATGAAGCAAGTTGTAAGATGCAAGATGCCCTGTAATTTGCATGTAAACTGGTTTTCTGAACGTAGGAAACTGTTTGCATGAAATCTCTGGTGCCTATGTATTCATCGCTGATCAGTAAAAAACAAGAAATATGCAAAACCGAGACAAAGAATCTGGAAATGACAAATATAGCCAACCTTAGGAAGGAACTGGTCCACAAAATAAGCATCAGAATGACTAAAACAGTAAAAAATAGATGGTAGTGGGAGACAAGTGATTTAACCCCTATGACACGTGATTGAACTCTTTGGTCAAAATTGAAGAATAAAGTATATCTCATGTTTATCACATATGCATATAAAAAAAATATATCTAAATGCATATATTATCACTTATCACTTAATAAATATACATGATTATATCTATAATATAAATATACATGATTATATATATGAATATATAAAAAATTTATCTAGTGGTTCTCTTATATCCACCATAATTGTGGATATTTTTTAATGGCTATTACCTTTATCAATTTATCAATTTTTTAAAATAAAAATATACATGGTTATCCTTATATTAGAAACCCAATGAATGGAACTTAAACACAATTGATGGTTTTTTATATTAAAAAGCGGAATACATTTTACTTAAACAATTGATAATATAAACAAAATGTGTTTAATTTGATAATATAAACACATTTGATAATATTAAACACGTTTTAATATTAAACTTGTCAGACAAAGTTCAATTCATGGTTTAAGTTCAATTCTAAACATTGATTATGATTTAAGTGAAATTACTTTAAACTTTATAACACATGATCAAAGCGATTTGAAATTTTTTGGGATTGGTGAAATTTTTTCGACATCCACACAATTGTGGAGTAGAACAGAAAATTTTAGATTGTAAACATTGATTATGTATGGTTTATAATAAATTTTAGATTCTAAAATTTGAAGAGAAAAAGCCTTTTTTCCTTCTCCATCCACACAGCTGTGAAGTACAACAGAAGCTATGAAAGCCAGCTGCACAGCCACCAGTCGGATGTTCAAATCACTGCAAAAGCTGAAGCAGCAGTGGGACCAGTCAATGTACAAACCACCATGCAAAGTACAACACCATGAAGCAGGCGCATTCAGCCCAGCAAGAGTCGGACCAACAACCTACAAACCAGCAACACTCACATCAAGTGCTTGGCTCCAATTTAGCAGGAGCGGTCCCACCATTCAACGTACAAATCAGCAGCCCAAGGTACAACAGCTTAAAGCAAGCGGATGCACTCGAAATCCCACCAACAGTAGAAACACAAAGTGCTTCTTATATATAGTAATAGTATAGATAGATAGATATACACCTCAAGTGTGAAAGTTTGCTCCCGAGCATGATCCAAACTTGCTATGATGGTAGACGACCAGGCCAACAGGCTGGTTCACACAACCCGATCCACCAAATAAAAAAGTAATAATAATAAGAGGAGAAGGAAAATGTTTATGTACACCATCATTATCATCATCGTCATTAACATATTATTATTATTTAGTTTTAGAGAGACCCCAAACAATGAAACAATTATATTACTGCACCACTATATTTAGAAGAAATAATAAAAGAGCAGCATCGGTCAGACGTAAATCCAAAATTGAAATGTGGAAGCCCAAGGCCTACTAAACGCTTTGCAAGTAGGCCCAACGGGCTTCGCCGACGAAGCGTTACGCTTTTCTACAATTATGTAATTAGCCGCGCCAAACTGTTGCGTAGGCGGAGGCAGATGAAAGTAAATGCCGCAAAAACTTTTTGCCACGTAACCCAACCCATGCTCCCCGCCTCACTCTCTGCTCCCCATTTTGGAGGTGGGAGTGGAAGCTGGGAAGCAGTAGTAAAATACTCTTCTACTACTAGTCTACTGCCACTCCTCAAAACCCACCCATTTCCCACCGCTCGGCTCTGTACTCTCTCACTCTATCGAAAGAAGAAAGAAAGGTTCAATCAATCAATTTTCTTCCATTTCTGGCTCCATCCTTTTTTGTGCTAATATTTCTCGATTTCCCGCTCTATTTCATAATTTGGTCGCTAATTTATCTTACTTGATCGTCGCAATTTTTTTTTAAAATTTTTTTTGGTTTCAACATTCATTTCAGTTTTTTTTTTTTAGTAAAGATAGTAGAGGATCAAATTCCTCTTTAATTTAACAGTTCAATTTTGATATTGTTTGCTGGAATTGTGATCTGATGATTGTACACTCTCTGATTTTTCATTCCTGACATTTTTGAGCCCACCAACTCCATTTAGGGCTCTTGCATGTGAGGTTTTTTGGTTTATTTGTTCATTATAGGGGTTTCTAACTTTTAGCTTTTACCAAAAAAAATTCTGAAATCTGTTTCTTTCTTTCTTTTTCTTTTTTCTTTTCAAAATTGTAGCTTTTGATTTGTTAAATTGGTCGTTTGATCATTTTGCATTTTATATTTTTCATGCAAAATGTTTTTGTTTTATTTTTATATTTGTGTTGGAGACTCTCTTTAAGTGAGTCTGCATGCAGATTTTGTCTTTGCGGACTTGCAGCATCTCGGTAGACCCTTGAGTAAGCTCTAAAAGAAACATTAATTGTTCCGGGTAATTCTTAGCTAAACTTAATTTTAATTTAATTTCTTTTTTGTCATGTAATGCTGCTGCCTAATCACGGTTTTTCTGATAATACATTCTAAGGTTCGTGCATGTAGGTTCTTTGTCGGTGACTCTTTTGCATGGCTTCGTAATTTATGGCTTCTAATTATACCATATGATATCTCCTCTTCAAATTTTCCTTTTTTTTAAAAGGAAAAAATAAAAAGAAAAGTTGCTTTTCCTTATCTGCATGATGTTTAGTTTGGTTTTTCAAAAAATGCACTGACGATTGTAATAGAGTCGGATTTCTGTTGATATTTTTGTTTGTTTTCTTGCTGTCTGAGGAAGTCATCTAACGTTCGTGCATGCAGGTCTTTTGGGGTGCTTACTGGTAGTGGGCCAGCTACAATGACACTTGAAATTTATTTGTCTTTCGTTTGTATTCAAACGTATGTGTGTGGTCTTTTTTTTTTTTTTATATATATATTTCAAATCCTTGTTTCTGAGTTCTGGTTGGTCTTGGAAAAGAATTTTGTTCAATAGAGGTGTATTATCTTCGTCTGTTATGCCTATATGTTTGTGGATTTAATTGATAATTATCAAGAGCTATAAGAAAGCACATAACTGTTTGTTGATGATGATTCTGTGAGCTATTTACTTTTCCTTTCAGCTGCAATTGGTGGAATATATTCTCCCATTCTTGATAATTTCGACAAAGTAATCCTTTTTCTCTTGGTTGCAACTTACCTTGCAGCAATATTTTGCATGTGTCCATATGCTTACAGAGGATGGTTTGGTTTGAAGTTCTATATAGTATAGAACTCTTATCAGTCCATGTGCTGGTTCTTACATAATTGTTTGTTCACATCTTACTTGTCACTTTCTCTCTTTTTCTTTAATTTTCAGTTCTCTAGTTTTCTTGCGAGTGGAACATTATACTAAAGAAAATCTAATACTCAGTAGCCAAATTATGGTCTTTTTGACTGCAGTAACAAGTAACTTAGAATCTCAAGTCAACTGGTTATAATTCATTGCTGCAGGAAGCCCGTGCATTTAAGACTTTCAGGTTCAAAAGAAGGGAAAGATGAAGCGCAAGCGTGGATCCGTTAGACGCAAGCCTAAAAAAACACCAGTGCCAGTTGCTAATAATGCATCTGCAAATTCTTCTTTTTTGAATGCTCAAGGTTATTCTGGGGATCATGATGGATGTGATGGATTTGATCCTACCATGGAGGGTGAAACAGCACATGCAAATGCCACTTTAAGTTCTTTCCATCAGGGACTAGATGAACCAGCCTTTCCTGGGGAGACAAATGGTGGCAATTCAATACAGAATGGTAATCTGCTAAAGAGTGTTGCCAGCTTTGCAGCTAAGCTGTCAAGAACTGTTGGTTCATCAATTGCCGAGCCATCTGATAAAGCACTTCCGTTGCAAGGTGAAAAGTCACAAGGAAAGAAACCAAGACTATTCCATCAGGATCCTCAGAACAATGAGCAAGAGCTAAATGCTGCCCTTGTGGTATGTTCTGCATAGAGTTTTCTGTGGTAGCTTCAGCAACAAAATTTGAACGGTTTTTTTGGTGATAGCTTGTAGAAGCTTGAGTTAGTTTTTCATGTTAATTCCCTGGATGGTTTTTATTCACTTGCAGGTGATTAAGAAGATTATGAAAACAGATGCAGCTAAGCCATTTAATGCTCCTGTGGACCCTGCAGCCTTGGGAATTCCAGTATGTAGTTGGCAGTTTTGGTTACAACTGCTTCTCATTCCTTTTTTATTTCCTTTTTTAAAGGATATTTTTCCCCTTCAGCCACTGTTGTGAAGTGTCCTTTTTCCTTTGCTAATCTTATCGTCAGTGGTAGTGAGGTTTGTTAAAGGCCTTCCATATGCCTTTTTCTGGAGATTCTTTGCCCACTCCTGCATTTTTTGGGTCTTGGATCTTCGACTTGTTGATGTATCAAAACATTTTTCATGGGATGGCCAAACTCTTGTGTTTGTTCTGCCATCGTTCTAGTCTTCCTCTTACATACGAACCCTTTCTCTAGTATTTTATTGCAATTTTTAGATTTGTTCGACTCCTGCACATTGTAATGGCCTTGCTATTTATGTTCTTTCTTATGATTTAAATAGGTCTTTTGGAAGAATTTTTACTCTTTTTAGAAACTCTTAACGTTGACTGACTTCTCAAGTCAAGATTTTTTTTTTCAAATATTCTCTTGATATTAATTGGGCTGGGGTTGTACACAGGATTATTTTGATGCTATTGTTTCTCCCATGGACTTTGGTACGATATGCAACAACCTAGAGTTGGGTTTAAAGTACACAGATGCAGCAGATGTCTACAAGGATGTGCAGTTAATTTGGGATAATTGTTCCAAGTACAATAAGAAAGGTGATTATACCCTGGAGCTCATGAAGCGGGCAAAGAGTAACTTTATAAAGCACTGGAATGCAGCTGGTTTATTCAGGCATCCTGAAGAAGCTGATAATGGTACGAGTGTCCCTGGTCTGTTCCTTTCATAGTCATTCTTCTGTTCAGATGTTGCTCAACGTGATTCGCACCATTGAATTCATTGGTTTAGGCAAAAACCGAATGAGCTTTGCTTATCTTTACTTTCAGTAGTTGGTTTAGAAAGTGGGCCCACTTTACCCTTTAATGAGGCTCTGTCATGTCTATATTGTTTACAAGCTCATTTCTATTGGTGGGGATTGGAGATAACATTAGTAGGACCTGTGTGTTTAACTTCAAAGCATACATATGTAGAAAATCATAAACACTTTCAGTTTGATTGCAACTCATTATAAGATTCAATACTTGTAATTTGCAACACATATTCCTCTCCTTCATCAAATTGTAATAGATAGATAAGGACGGGAAAGGAAATAGTGGAGGTTAAGTCTAAGAACTAGCTGTTATTACATGTTCTCTAGTACAATTATAGCCATTCAATTCCTTGTCTTTCTAATTACTGATTCAATTGTCTTGTTTATCAAGTACATTTAGAAGCAGATCCACAGGATATTAATGGCTGTTTCACAAGGCACAACAAAGAAGGGCATATGTTTCCAGCAGGTTCCATGATCAACAACTCCATCCATCATGAAAGACCTGATTTGGTTGGTCTTTACCAGGTGCAGAGACATGAATGTTCACCTTGCTTCAGCCACATGCACTCCCAGCATATATGCTCCCAGTGCCAGTGTGAGTGCCAATCTTCAGAGTTTCAGTCCTTCCAGCGCCATCGTAGCAGACGTCGTCCTACTGCAGGTAACCTCTCTACTACCTGTAAAGGAGATGCTTCTCATTGTTGTATGATTTGCCTAAGTTATTAGACTTCTTAACCATTGCTGACATTGTGGTCCTTGGTTTCTTGATGTGTACTTTTTAAATGGTTCAACAGCTTATGCCAGAAGTAGTAGTCTTCCTTGTCATATTTGGTGTCTTCACTGACATATTTTTTCTGTTTATCATTGAAGAAATAGAAGAGTTTTTTTTTTTTTAATTCTAGTGTTGCTAGGGAAGTTTCTGAAACCCTTATTGTCTAGTTGAGCTTTGGACCCAACTTTTTTGTCTAATATGGTAATGAAGCTCTTATCTATCTGGTCAACTCAATTGTCTTCTTGCACATTTGGTTTTCACATCCTGGTGTATCTTGCACTTTTTTCTGCTCTCTTGTGTTTTGCTCTTGACTGCTTGCTTGAGTTAGAGTCATAAAATTGGTATATGGTGTATCATTTATTCATTATCATGTTGAATTTCCCTCCCTCCATCCCAAAAGCAGCAGTAGTCTGGAGAATTACGAAATATTACGTACTTGCTTAATTGGATCTTCTTAGGTTCACAGTTTTTATGTTTAAAATCACTTGTGTCATCTTTATGGCTCTACTGGCTTAATACATCCTGATTGCAGCTGCAAATGTTTTTTAGCTTAGCTAGAGCCATGGACTAGGAGCTTCATCATGTTGAATTTCCTTCTAGTTGCTAGACATACAAGATTTCTTCTATTGACCTCTTCTGTATTTCAATTTTTGACATTTTTCACATTGTGAAAGCTGCTCTAATTCGTCATCTATATGTTGTTATCAAGTCCTGAAATTTAATTGGTGATTAGTTGTTACTTCTGCTGCTGTCAGTAAAAGAAGAGAGCATGCAAACTTTAACAAAGTCTAGTAACGGATGCCATGTAGGTAGGCATATGTGTTCCAGTGGACCAATTAGTGGAGAGCACTACAGCCAGCGGCAGGATGAGATTAGGCCCTTCCAAAAACTCTCGTGTCAATCCTCACCTAGTTGTGGCACTCAAAGCCATTCCTGTGAGAGACCCTACAAGTATCAATCGAACTCTAGCCATCTCCAACCTTCTAGCCTACTGTCTGGCAGAGATACTCAAACTGCAGGTGTGCCTACCATTTACTCTACTCAGAGAAATAAATTCATATGTGAGAATGCAGTTGTCTATTATAGAATTTTCGTAGGTTCTTTCACAATATTAGTTGTGCAAGCATGTTGGGGACGTTTCACATGCTGCTTTTATTTTCATTGGAGCAGTTATAAATAACATGATGTTCCTAATTTTGTCACTCTTCTGAGTGAGCATTAATGGAATCTATTGGGAACCAAAGTTTGCAACTTCAATTCTGAAGAGAACTAAAATAAAGCTGAAGAAAGACTTATGTTTGTTTGAGTTGTTGCATTTTGTGATGCTACTAGGGTTCTATGGAAAAGGAAGGTAAACACAAACAGCTTTGTGCTACAGTAGGGAAAGCAAATAAGAATGAAGTATGAGAAATTGTTGATAGAAGTAATGGAAAGGTGCTTACAAAATAAATTGTCATCTTTAATTTGTGACATGTAAAATTAAACATTTATAAATCTGCAAGTTTTTTGGTATCCTAATGAAATGTGAAACATGAAGTCTTGAAGTGTTGATGAATCATAGTTATGTAGACTTCAAGTCTTTTACAAGATCTCATATGTAATGGCAATGATCCAGTATGCTTAATGGTGCTGTTGCTTAAGTACTGATTTTGAATCGTTTCACATGAAGGCCATGTGCATTTACCAATTCATGGAGTCTCTTTTTCCTCGACATGCAACATATGTGAGCATGCTTGCAGTTCAGTTCCAATGGGTTATAATTCCAACCACCACAAGCACTATCAGATGTGCTCCTGTCCCATTCATGAGCATCAATCTTTGCTGAGGTGTTGTGATCAATATCAGCAACATCAGAATTCTTGTCAGCATTACTCACACTCAAGTCAGATGCGGAATACGGAGCCTGATGTTAGAGATGCTGGAAATGCAGGTATCCACATCTGTTTTCAATAGGATTCATTTCATGTGTGTGATCTGGCCCTCTCTTTTCGTGGGTGCAATCTATATAGCTTTCTCGCTTTGGCCACATTCACATTTCTAGTTGAATTCTTCACTGGATCTTAGTGTCCAAGTACAGGAGTTTGTCATTAATTCTATTTGTTAATCTTGTAATCATCAATTTTGGGCGATCAATCAAATGGAGAAATCAAAGAACCTGTCTTTTCCCTTGATACTGGCTCCACTTGTCTCAAGCAGTGGTAGTGATCATTCTATTAGGGTTCTTTATTCCATAACTTGTGTTACTAATTAAAGCTACTTAAATCTTAGCCATCCTGAAGATTTGGGATACATGCTTGTTGGCTCGTCAACCTTGTTGTATCAGATATTCACAATTTTAAGAAAGTTGAATTCTATAGAAATGCTTATTGCACAAAATTCACATTTATCAA